ATAAAGGTATTACAAAGGTAATCACAAAAGAAAATCACATAGTACTTTTGACAACAGGAAATACAAACGTATTACAACAACAATAAACCAAGTATAAACCCACAATTGGTATCTGTAAAAGGTAGTACGCACACAACCTTATCCCTACCATAGAGAAGGTGGAGATGTTTTCGATAAACCGTCTGCTCAATGAATGAATATAAACGTAATTACAAAAGAAAATCACCCAGTACTTTTTTAAACAGAATCACAAAAGAAACGTGTTTGGCCTGAGCACAAAGTTTAAGAAACCAAAAAAGAAAAAACTTTGACATTTACACTAAGAATATGCAAAGTACTAAATTTATCAGATCAAAAGAGAGATAGAGAATGTAGCCAAGCTAGAATCAGCTGAGGTCAGAAACATGTATAGTTCATCAACTAAAATTGTTCCAAGCTTGTCCAATTATAAAATATTGGCAACAGGGAAAAGAGGGAATCAACAAAAACAGATACCCTCGGCAAAGTTGCCTTATTTGCAATTCCTTTTTTGCATTAAACATACAATTATTCTCAAATTTAATAATGTTAAGACCCTTTCAAGACAATTGAAAACCACGCTTGTGTCACTTAAATGGCGTTATAAAATCCGCTCTCGTAGGAGGTGCATGAAAACTTACTGACAAATTTTGGGAGATAAAATGCTTCCTTAAAATCCAAATAATTAACAACAGTTCAGAAAAGACCAGTATTGTATCTCCTGTTATTTACAACCTTACAAATTCTTCATCAAGGGAAAAAAAACTCTAGGATAACGCATAACAGAACCTGATTAAATAAAGCATAAAATACACACATAAAACAATCTTTTTAGACAAGTAGTTGTGATAATATAGAAGTGTAATAAAGGATGTAAACAACAAAATAGAGCTAATAAAGGACGAATTCCTTCATGCACAGAACAAACAAAACAATTGAAGGAGAAGAGTAAGAAGTATGGACTTTGCAGCTAATGTTGACGAAATTATGGACTTTGCAGATAAGCCCAATAAAACATCTCAGCAACGAAGTAACTTAAAACTAGACGTTAGTATTCAAATGACTAGATTCTAGAGAAAAGCAAACAAATTCAGGCACACCCATGTCAAAGAAGCAGGTATTCTGATTTGCAGAGAGTTCGAAAAAAGAAAAATAAGGGCTAAAGTATGGAAAAGTACCTCTTTCGCATATGAAGCCTATGATTCGACAAAGGAAAAAACTAAGGTACATCCATCTCAAAGCAAGAGCATTCCAAATCATTAGATTAAAAAAAACAAGGGAAACAGGATTAAGCATCAAAGAGAGCATATTTACCGACAAAGAAACCCAAAAATAGATATTAGTTGTTGGCATTCTGATTCTAAGAATTATAGTGGAAGGAAAACATTTTTAGGCACACCCATATCCAAGAAGCAACATTTTCAATCAATACAGAACCGAGAAAAATAGGCTAAAGTATCAAAAGTACATTTTTTGCAATAAAGTTAACTCTAAAATAGACCTTATCTATATTCCTAGAGCTTCATAAATCTTAAAAAAAAAGAATTTGTTCTTTGGTTGTGGTTGATGGCACTTTTAAGATGGAGATCTTCTGATATCCATAAATTCCACAATGCACAATCGCAGCAAGGGCCACATTTTAAAGAGAATAAGGAACACATACAGGGATTTATTTACCTGTTCACTATATAGAATTAAAAATAAAAAGTAAATGGATGTTTTTACAAACAATTCTTGCAAGCTCATTAGATCATAGCTCTTTATGGCAGCTTTGCTATGCTGGAACCAAAATGCTCTCAGTGAAGTCCCATGTAAGAACTTGATCTCCATTTATCCTACTAGAGAGTATTACTCAGCCTAATGGGAAGGAATACCTATTACCTGTAACTTCTTGTCTGCCAAAATGCCGAGTACCTTAAAGCAATGGGTCTTGACATTATTTTTAACCATCAAGACTGCTTTTTTGCACTGCCACATTGGAGAACAGTCAGACTCAGCATGTTCCAATAAGGTAAAGTAAAAATATGGTGTTGTTAAAGTTGACTTACCAAAGTGCAGTCAAGAGACTAACTCACAATGCATAGAAGCTCTGTTTTCCTTTTCAATTTGAAAATTATGAGGCATATAAGTATTGCTCAACATTAGCATAATGCCAAGTCTGTAATACTGCCTTGAAGGACTTATCACCAGAAACTAAAGATTAGTTTTCCTATTACAAGGACTTATTTCCACAATGCTGCTCAAAAGTTACAGTCTCAAAAGTGAACCAAAAGTTAAATTGAAGTATGAGCTCAAATTTTTGCCAATGTAATCAAGTAGCAAAGAAAAAAGCAAAAACCAAAAACCAAAATCAATAGCAATGGGGTAGGCTCAGATTCGTCTTTTCTCAGACAAAACCCAAAAAGCTTTGGAAAAAACTGCCATGGCTGCAAGCATAAGTTAGCCTTATGAGACAGGAAAAAAACACCCAAAAAAATGGATTTTCTCCAATATCTCATAGACCCACAAGGTAGGGTAAGGTCTGCCTATATGTTGCTGTTGTTGTTGTATCTCATTCTCATAGACATATCTGCGCTGCCATGCCAAGATACAGTTTTTTCCAGCTCAATAGATTTATAAGTCTGTCTTTTTCACAAACAACAATCTTCATAGCCTCTAATAAATTTGAACAGAGGGAGTAATAAATCAATCAACTAAGGGTGGTTTTGCAATTGGAAAATTTTCATTTGAGTGATCATCGGCGGCGGAGAATGACAGAGAGGGGCAAAACCACCCATTAAAACTCCCTACAGCTCTCTGCTTTCACCGCTGCCTCAGACTTAAACTAATGAGATTTTTGCTATTTTAGTGTTATCGCCACTTCTTATATATTGCGCCCTAATCAATTGGGCCTTATTTCAAAAGCCCATTCCAAATCTAAATCGGGTCGAACTGAAACCAATATTCTGATTCCACGGTTGCCAAAAAGGGGATTAGGGCTTTTGAGCAAAAAAAATACAACTCGATTTCGCCGGAAAAGAGACCGGCTCAGAGGTGTGTTTAAGCTCAGGCAAAAAGAGAGTCCGGCGACGCCATGGCTGCAAAAACCCAACGGAGGCATGCCCCACCAAGATACGGGTCGGATTATCTCAAAACGCCCCGAATAATTAATAAGCTCAGAAGGGAATTACAAAATTTGTGAAAATCATCATCGCCTCTTTTAAGCACGTCGATTATACTTCACCACCACCACTTCTGCCACCGCCACCGGCAGCATTAAATGCTCCGGCGGAAGCGTAAAAGGAAAATGCATACTGTAGTGAAAATTCAAATGATCCTATTTGTGCAAATCTCCCTATGTATAAACAGCGGCTCTAAAATAGGCTATAAAAGGGCTGTTGGGATAGTTTGAGAAATCATAGGCTAATATGCAGAGAGAGGCAACCGCCCTTTCAATGAAAAATCCTACAATTCTCTGTAGCCTCATTCTCTCCCTTCCGAGCTTTTTGCTTTGTGTTCGTTTTTTGGTAATCTGGATTCTCCCATAATTTAAAATATGCGTATATTGTAGGGTATTAGTTATGTGAGGGATTATTATATTATTTTGTATGAAATTTTATGTTGAAATTAAGTGGCGGTTGGACATAAAAATTGTAAAATTCCGAAAAAAGTGAAATAAATGCAAAGCGAAAATGATATTTGAAAATTAAAGTTGTGTTTGGACATAAATATAATCTTTGGTTGTTTTTGAATTTTTGTGAGTGATATGAGTGGAAATTTTGAAAAATAACTTTTTGGAATTTTTTTTAATTTTTTGAAAAATTTCAAAATTTATCATCAAGTGAAAAATTGAAAATTTTATGGCCAAACACCGATTTTTAAAAAAAAGTGAAAATTTTCATGGCCAAACGGGCTCTAATTGCTTCTATACACAAGTAACACAACTAGACGACTAGATATGATCAAACCTATCTATAACAATCTCATTTATAACAATCTCATTTGTACCAAATATTTTTGATTGTTATAACGAAGTGTTATTACATAAACACATATTATAGTACATCATGAAGATTGATTACATAAAAGAACTTGACTTTATAGTCAATAATAAAGTCAATAATTGTTATATAACGATGTTATATAACTGCTGGGCACTACCAGAAGACTCTTATCTTGTATGTCAGGAAATATTTCTCTAATATAGAGAGCCATTGTCCATTGTAAAAGACAAATTGAAAAAAAATACCAAAAGAAATGGACCTATGCAAAAACCATATAACAAGACGAATAATTGACATTCCACAGAAAAAGGGTAGCCTTATAAAAGTTTGTATATCAGATATGTTCTGCGGCGAAAATCAACGCCAATATCAAGCAATTGATACAATCATTTTAACGCAAAGATTGCCCTGCCAAGATACTCTTTGGTTTTTACAGTGTCGGGTCTATTTAGTAATTATTACTATTGTTTTTCATCTATTTTATGATTTTTATGATGCTATTATAATACCTTTAATTTTTGTTGATGATACTGATATATTATTTCTTTTCTCTTTTCGTCTTCTTAAACCAAAGGTCTTTCAAAAGCAGTCTCTCTACTTCCTCGGGATAAGGGTAACGTCTGCATACACTACCCTCCCGGACCCCACTAGTGAAATTTTACTAGGTGTTGTTGTATTGCCCTGCCAAGATACATGGCCCATTTGGCCAAACGGCAAAAATCAGATACATGGCCTGTTTGGCCAAACGGCAAAAATCAGCTTATTTAGCTTATTTTAAGTACTTTTTATCAAAAGTGCTCTTCTTAAAAGTACTTTCGATGAAAAACAGCTTGTATTTGGCTAATTAATTTGAAAATCACTTCTGAACAACAATTAGTGTTTGACCAAACTTTTAAAAACTGTTTCTAAGTATATTTTTTTCAAAAGTGCTTTTCAAAAAAATGTCTTTGGAGAAAAACTATTTTTTGATACTTCTCCAAAACTGTTTCTGCTTCTCCTCAAAAGCATTTTTTTTCTTCCAAAAGCTTGAAAAAGCTTGGCCAAACATGCTAACAATCAGATACTGGTCTGGTTATATCTATGCCCGAATCATTTTTTAGCCTGCATAAGCAAATATTATCATTGCCACTTTGAGAAAATGAATACATAATTCCAAGAAATTAGGATCCTTTGGACGAAGATCATAAATCAGAATGAGGTCCAACTATCCAATTACTACTACCACTACTACTGTTAATGCTCTACTTTCAACTTCAGACTCGATTTGTACCAGGAGCATTGAGTTCTCTGGCAATTGCCATGGCTACAAATCACAGTAATTGAAGTTGCCCCGCCAAGATACAGGCAACTAAACTGCAGTGCCCGATTTCAGTTAGCTCGCAAACATTATCATCATAGCCAGTTGTTTCCCCTTTTCGATTTCATTGACGTGATACTTTGCTTGCATTGCATTGAAACACAGCCAGTGAGGAGAAGATAAGAACTGAAATAAACGCACGCACAAATCCACATATACAAGAATACAGGAACCTGCATAGACACAAAGGATTGTTAGGTCTAAAGCCAAAAAAGAAAACATCCGCATGTCAGAGATAGTCATCCACTCTGAGAATCATCCCCTAAAGCCTCAAGGGGTTAAATCAAGGTCTTTCAGTTAAATTTTCTCCATAAAAGAGGGGCCGTTTGGTTTAAAGCGTAAAATCATCATAAGTTGGAGAACGCCAAACACCCCAGAACTGAAATTTCACCAAAATGGGTATGCGGGCTCAGATGATACTGAACAGATATGGAGATACATTAGGACTGCAATATGATTTATAACTTGGTTCAATATCCCAACATTCAATCATGGAAAAGATTCTACTTTTTGTCTTTTAAGCAAATGGGGCTCATGTGTGTAACGATAAGGCGAAGAGAAGCCAGCCACGCCAAGGCTGCAAACACCAGTTGCATGTGAGAGACATAAGTGTCAGTCACAGGCCATCCGTGCGCTTGCCACGCCAAGATACAGGTAGGTTAATCTCAACGCTCGAATTGGTATCATCACTCTTCATGTACTTTCCATCAACACCGAAAAAACAAAACACACACTCACACAAGAAAGATAGACATGTCAATATATAAGTTAAATCCTTTATGCATGTTTTTTTTTTTTTGATAAGTAAATCATGTATGCATGTTCCAGTTTCTGTTTCTGCTGTTACCATAAACAAGGGCTGTTGGTTGTTCAATAATGATGGAAAATCAATAATGGCAGAACAAAGCAGGGCAACCACCCTTTAAAGAAAATCCCAAACTCTTTGTTTTGCCTCATTTCTTTCTGGGATAACCATTTCTGATTATGGGAATTTTTTGGTCTTTTCACCTCCGAATTTCCCAGCACTGTCTTGTATATAAATCTGTCGAATAATTAAAGATAGTGCTAGATCATATCAGCTTTGCACAAAGGGCCATAGGAGCAGTAGAGATCAACAAAGTCATAGGTAGAAGCCCAAGCAGGAACAACATCAAAAATATATATCCATATCCTTCGCATACAATCAAATATTCAAACAATCAACCATGAGGAGCCTCAGAGTTGATGGAATAATATGATTAAGGCTGTTTGTAACCAAAGTGAAATCATAGGCTTACCAGAGAAGTAGGCCAACCACCCTCACATTTTTCTCAGATGCCTCATTCGAGGGTTTCAAGATGCTTTATAACATGTAATCAGAAAACCGCAGGATCGACATATCCCCACTTTGAATCATGGAAAAGATTCTGTTTTATTTTTTCCTTCAAGCAAATGGGGCTCAGATGTGTATTATGATGCAAAAGAGAAGGCAGCCACGCCATGGCAAACACCGGTTGCATGTGAGAAAGAGAAAATCTCCATCACAGGCCATACCGGGTTGCCACACCACGATACGGGCTGGGTCATCTCAATGCCTGAATTGGTTAGCTCAAATATAGAAACATCATCACTGCCACTTTATGTATCTTCCATCAACCACGTAAAAAAAAAACACACACATACTGTTACGCGGCGCCTTCCTGAAGTTCCTTGGAAGGGCGACGTAAGGCTAAGCAACCGATATCAGTGCGGTTGCTATGCGCCAACTGAGGTCCTCGCCGTACACTAGACTAGATTGTTAGTGCCGTACGGGAAAACCAATATCGTGAGCAATTGAGCAGCGAAAAATGAGCAATTGATGATGAAAGCTGATGATTGTATTGATGATGATGAAAGCTATTACAAGGTGCAATGCGGTGTCAGAGGGGAAAGACACCAGTACAGAGAATTGTTTGAATGCTTGAATGTTTGAATGCTTTGGTCCCCCTTAATAATGCTTAAAAAAAATAAACCAAAGTTACATGAGTTGACCTAAGAAAGCTGTAGGAGCACACTGAAAATGAATGAAGTAAAACTACTCTATAATTACAATGAAAAGGACTTAGTCTTCTATGGAAGCAAGTCCGATGGCAGGAACTTTGTCTTGAGCATCAGGGTCTGCGCGCGTATTGCTGTGGGCGCGCGCGGCACTATTTGGATTTGCCAGCGGCAGGGCGTTGGTGCTTGGCATTGGGTCTGCACGCGGAGCACTGTTTGTGCGTGCGGCGCTGTTGGCAACATGATGGTTTGTGCGCGCGGCATTGTCGGTGCGCGCAGCACTAATGGCATTCGCCAGCCGCTGGCACTGATTATCGGTGGGGCGACAGAGGCGCATGCTCGCTTGTCACTTGGCGTTGCCGAGACCACGGGGCCGACCGTGGCGCTAGGCGTTGGGAGGCTTACCGGGACGTCACGGGGCGCGTCCAAGGGGTCATGGGTCGATGATGGAAAGCAGCCCATGACATTCTCCCCCACCTGAGTTGGC